GGGGCTCTTTGTCCCACCACACCCTGCCATTTTCAGCTGTTGCTAAGTCCAATAACCTCCTTTGTTCTGCAGCATTTGACTCCTTTAACTTTGTACTTTTCCCCAACCCTAGGCAAGCCATAAAAGCAGCAAGTATTGTTAGAAAAGTAATTTATCATTGGAAGCAAAGCCTACATAGAGTCCAGAGTGCAGCGTATCTAAACTGCTCCTCATTTTTATACTGTATTTATCAAACGCAAATATTTGCTTTTCTCCCCATCTGAATGCTTCACTTCTAAATAGCTACTGCTCAAAAAACATTTCTCCCATGGAGCCAACAACATTTTAAGCAGAAATGTAAACAGTAGTACTGAGATTCTTCTCCAGTTCTACCCAACAAATCAAGATCTCAATTAAACTAGAAATAGCAGAGGTACAGCACTGCTGAATCCTACACTGGCCCATGCATCTGACCACAAATCAGTTTAGGGAGACGAAGAACAACCATCCTAGATCAGGGGTGGGCCAAATCCAGCCCGTGGGCTGGATGCGGCCTGCCAGGCCATCCTATCTGGCCCGCGGGGACTCTAAAAAATTAAGAAAATTAATATTTATCTGCCCGGCTGCCTGTCATGCAGCCCTTGATGGCTTGCCAAAATTCAGTAAGCGTCCCTCCACCCAGAATAATTGCCTGCCCCTGTCCTAGATACTATGTGAGATGGCCCAATGACTCTATTTCCTTCTTATTTTCATCTACCTGGTCTCCAGCAACTTATGCATGACTCAAAAAAAGGCCAGTGCAATTTTGGGCTGCATATTCAGAGAATTGTCACACATGGAGAAGGGAGATTCTGCATTCAGTCATCATACTGCAAGTTCTTTGGGGCAGAGGTCATCACCTATTTGTTCCATGCATGGCCAGCACTCATGTAAATAGAGCCCCAGTCATGGGCTATACTTTTGTTTTGTGTTCACATGGTATTTAGCACAGAGAGATCCTGGTGTCTGACTGGAGCCTGTAAGGAGCAAACAAAGAAAAGCAACAGGACTCCAACATGACTTCTGCCAATAATTTTGAAGCACTAATTCAGGTGGCACCACTATTTTTTAAATGGCAAGGATGTTCAGCTATATTACCAAAAATTTATTTTGCACAGGTATCCACTGAGTATTTTTTCTCTTCCCATCTAGGGAACAATAGTACCAGTTCAACACCAGTAGATGCAGCACTGCAGTGGCTTTACTGGAATCACTGTTGCTTACAACTAACACTTTTCCTCCTTACAAATGGATGTACCATAAATAGGGATCTACCAAAATTGTGATTTTGTAGAAAACATGAAATCTGGCATTGCTCATGAAAGCAAGCGATGGCCACACAATCTGTGGGGAAAAAACAAAGAAAACTCACTGAAAATAAAATCTGGCTCCCCAGAGAGAGCCAGCAGTCCTCACAACACTGCAGCTGGGCCGCGCAGCCTGCCAGGGGGCAAGGTGAGGACAGCCGGCACAAAGGGGAGTTCAGGATGGCTGCTGCCCCAACCCCTCACTGCTGATTGGCTGTGAGAACTACTTGTCATATGGCCCTGCCCCTCTTGACCAATCAGTGGCAAGGGGCAGGGTCACCTGGAAACATGCTGACATTTTCTAGAATGTTTTGTATTCATTAGCCTGTGAAATTTAGGGTTGGTTTACTTGGTTGTGTTGGCAAGAGAGATTAACTTTTTATTGGGAGCAGGCAGGTTACAGCCATTAAGGCAAGTGCAGAATGAATATTCCACTTCAAATTATGAACTGAAAACTGCTCTGCCCTCGCACTAGATAGCCAACAATTACAATTCATATTAATGAAAAAGTGTTTTAGCATTATATGCTCCACATTATACGCTCCAGATTTTTTGTGGACCCTCTGGAGAAAACCTGAAAGCAATTAAAATATTATTAATTCCTTCCCAGTAACCTTTCCTGAAAAGTATATTTTTGACAACCAATTTATATCAAAATAGCTCTTATATCTTCAGTGCTAATGCAAAGCAATGCAAGAGAAATGTCTATATTTTGGCCCAAGATATTTTTAAAGATATCGAAGGACTTCAAAATTTGATTACCTACAGGGCCAGATACAGTGTTGACAATACAACAGAAGTCAAGACAACTCTAAAGAAGTTGTTTTGCAGGCTGGAAAAGATGCATTGGGTGTGTCTATACGTTTATTAATGTGACATAATTATAGCACATTAAGTTTAGTACCTGTAATTACAGGTACTAACTCAATGCGCCATAATCGGCACTGCAGTAGTGCTGGCACATGCTTTTTTGTGATGCTAATTCTACTGTGCATATTATCCTGGTTTTTGCCAGCTGTGCTAGTGCACAGTAGAATTAGTCTACTGCGCTTTTAGCATCTCATGTAGATACACCCATTGTCAAGGGTCTTTACTCCCAGTCTGAAACGAGGCACTTGTGTTCTTTATAATTAACTAGCAGGCCATTAAAAGGAATACATATGTATATTCCACAAGCTAACAGAGATAATCATGCATCAGGATTTGAGATCCTGTATGTTCTGACACTACTCTAAAGCAAGTCTCTTGGAGACATTGCCTTGTGGCTGAAGCAGAAGACTGGAAGATGGGGGCCTGGCTTCTGCTCATAGCCCTGCTACACATTCTCTATGCGACCTAGGTCAAATTACAAATTCTCTGTTCCCGTTTCCCCAATTCGTGAAAAGCAAGAATGTTGCTTCATTTGGAGGGATTAGAATTGTTAACACATTCGTGTTCGTAGTGGCTTTCTGTTATTCATATGACAAACACCACAGAAGTTTAAAATGTTAACATTTTCCCCCGTGCCCTCAGGACAGTGTAATTCACCCTAGACTGAAAAATCTATGGAGTGTATCAAACAAGCCTTTAAACCATCAAATTGTTTTTTCTGTTAAAATCTGCTTCACAAACCAGATGAGAATGGTAAATACATGGAGCACTATAGAATCCAAGCCCTGTCTACACTACAGCTTTTGCCCTTTGTGTAGCAATGGTCAACACCTTGGCTATGGCATGGTGTGACTGATGGACCTATAGCACAAAGGAACTTCATGCAGTATAAGCTAAACACCAAAAGTTCCCTTCCCTGGAAATCTGGGACACCGGCTATTAAATTTGGGGCTGAGGGGTACTGGCCTTTGTTCCTGATCTGGAGTGGAAGGACACAATATATCAGTAAGATTGACATAGAGAAAAGCTCTGATCAGTCAGGACAGAAAAGTTACATAAAAAGGACTGTGAAAAGTTATGGCTGGAAAACAACAGAATAAAATACAGCTTGCCAAACTGCAGGGTAAGGCAGACAAGCAAGGAAGGAAGTCCTGAAAAAGATGTGTTTTGGGAAAGAAAAGAAGCCAATGAAGTGTTGGGTTGCATAGCCAACAATCTCATGTTAGAGTGGAGGGATCGAAGGGCATCTAGGATTGTTCAACGCCTGGGGCTGAGGACGTGGATTCAGTTTCGTGCTCTGCCACAGACTACCTGGGTGATGTGTGTTCAGTCATTACACTAGCAGCTCTTTGAGGCAGAAGCCATTTTTTGTTCTGTGGATGTGCTGCACCTAGTACATCAGGAGCCTGTTTCATGGACCAGGACGCTGGGTATCACCACTACACCAAGTGAATGTCATTATGCTTAAAGTAAGGCAACATAGACAAATGAAAGGACTTAAGGTGAGAGCAACAGACTGCAATGCTGCAGAAATGGACTTATGAAGGAAGTTATTCTGTAGTTAGAGCTTAGCTACACGACTGCTACAGCGAGTCCAAATAACATACTGTGAAGAGCTAAACACTGAGAAGGCAGAGGGATTATGTAGAGCAGTGCAGAGGTGCAACTAGGAATTATATAATAATATAATTATAAAAATTATATATAATTTTTTAATAACAAAATTAAATTATGTCAGTTTAAGATATTTAGGGAAACATTTTGATCTCTCGTGTATCCGTAAAGCTCATTGGCATCTAAACACTCGGATGTATTTGGCTGTGATACAGTTTCCCAGTGGAAGCTCAGGAATTGAGCATATTTAAAACTATGCTGATTAAACAATACTGTAGCAATAACTTTGAGCAGCGAAAAGCATCACATTCCATATGCAAGTGGTCACGGGTTCAAATCCTGCTTGATCTCTTACAGATGTGATGAATGCTCTCCCTCAGAGAGGAAGGCACCAGTGGCTCGCGTGCTAACCTGGGTCCAAGGATGTGCAGGTTTAATTCCTGTTCTGCCAGATATCTGTTTCCAGACCTTGGGCAAGTCACCAAATTTTTCTGTGCCTCAGATCCTCCTCTGCAAAACTGGACTAGCAGTTCTACCTGTCTCTTAAGGGTACAGTGAGGGTGAATGGTTTCAAGGGAGTGAGGTGCTCAGACAGTACAGTAATGGGGACTGTGCATCTCTGCCAGACAAGACAACCTATTGTAGGGGAACCATCCTGCAGTGTGGGGAAAACTGCCTGGATGACCATCTCAGGTCCAGGTTTGTTGCATGTCTAGTCACCATCACCCAATGCAACAGAAACTAGAGACAAGTACTAAGCTTTTTCTTTTGAATGAGCTCCCTTTAGTTGGGTGGAGGTATTTTTTTTCTTTAACTACATGTAAATTATATCTCTCAGCAACCTCTCTGCAAATATTTTCTGGTCTCTCACACCCTCCGCTGGGCATGAGTGGGCTGCTTTTCCTACAGATCTTCTGGATTTGCTTTGGGGTTTGGGTTTTTTGGCGGTTTGTTTTCAAAGAAGCGGGAGTCGGAGAGACAGGGCGAGTCATAAAAAAACAACAAGGGAGCCAAGCTGAGAGGGGAAAAAAAAAAAAAGCAAGGGAGACTTCTGCTACACTTTCCTCCTTCGCGAACAGCTGGCACCAGATGCCACAAGCCAGTCTCTTTGGAGCAGAGTCAAGATCCTGCACATACAGCTCACTCCGTACCTTGATGCCGTGCTACACCAGCTCAGTAATCCAGCCTTACCTGTTTGTCAGTGGCGAAAAGGCCGAGGAGAACAAGCCACCAGCCTGCCGAGATGGGCATGTCTGGGTGTGGGTCTCTGCCTCCCTTTGCTGCTTCTCCGGCTGCCACTGGAGTAGAAATTAGATCCTCCACACCAAGTCCCCAAGCCCCAGCCCCCGCACGAAGCACATTTGAGCAAGTTACTTCTCCTTCTTCCTTTCCTTCCTCTCTTACACGAGGGGAGAAGAAAAAAAAAATTAGGTCTGGCTGCAGTTCTCACAGCATTTCCTCAGACTTGACATGCAGGTTTTTCCCCCCCCCCCACTCTCATCTGGTCCCTCCCTTCCCTTTCTCCGCCCCTTCTGGGAGTTTAGTCACCAGGCCATGTCCCTCCTTCTGCTCGTGGTGCTGCTTTTCCTAGCTCTCCCTCACCAAACCCATCCACCTCCCTCCCTGTTGTCCTACCCCTCCCCAGTTGCAACCGCATGCTGTGACTTTCCTCCCACTGCCTCCAGCTACCTCCTTTTTGCCTCGTGTCCCTCTGCCTACCCCACAGTCTCCAGATATCCCCTACTTCCATCTGATCTCAACCTGCCTCCTCTGGTTATTTTGCCTTACCCTTTCTCAGCAGCTCCTGCCTCCAGCCACTATCTCCCACTTCCATCTCCTGTCCTGCTGCCACCCATCGCATTTACCATAAGCACTTTCTCTCTCTCGACTTGAAAACATCCTGCCTGCTGCCCCAGCTCTGAGGAAACTATCCCAGAGGGTCCACTCCATTATCACTTCTCACCTGCTCGACCTACAGCATAACTGCATACCCCGACACACACCTTCACCCAACATAATGAGATGCATTTTTCCCCAGGTACATTCATGTGGCCCCATATAATGCTGTCAACACAATCTCACCTGCCAAGACTCTGGGCCACAAAACATGTTTTCATAGAGCCTGCATTGTCTATGCACATGTAGGGAGTATGTTCCTGAACCGAACTAATAAGGAAGTTGCTCTTTGGGTTGTGTATTTAGATTTGGCCCATAGCCAGAATGAACCCTTTTCTGGGCTATGCTACACCCATGGAAGGTCAAACTTCAAAAATATGTTTTCCTGTGCAGGGGAAGAGGGAGAGGGGAAAAGAAGGTGCTCTTCTTCCAGGGGCGATAGGTGCATCCTGAGTCTGGAGGGGCACAATTTGTGGGTGGACCTGGGGGTGGGCCAAAAGCCCCATATCCACTCCTATACTTCTGTGCTGTGGCTTAGTGCCCCCCACCCTCCCCAAACATGCCACTGGCCCATGTGGCAAAAAAACTACCTCGTCCTGAGTGGTGCTGAGTCAGGGGCCAATCTCAAGGGGGCACATGCCCCCCCCCCCCCCCCCCCCATCCCCTCCCTACCAGTCCCCTGTGTATGCTTCCATATTTGTTTTGTTCTTTCCTCTGATTAAAAAACCCCAACCTTTCAAAGCAATCACAGAAATTTAGGACGGAACAAGCTGTTAGACTTACTTTTTTGCTGCTTTCTCTTTTCAATCAGGAGAGGTCAATGTAGCAAAGTGACAGTGTGACTGTAGTAATTGCTATGGGACTTGTGCCAGCTCCAGAATCACCTGCAGGAGAGCAGCAGAGACGAAGCAGTACAGGCTTTAGCACAGGCTAGCAAGCTGAATACGAGGGCTCCTGTGAAAATACTCTGCTTGCTAGCTTAGGCTGAAACCCAAGCCACTGCCTCTTATCTGTGAAGAATGCCTCAGGTGGCTAAATTAAACTAGCAGAGAGAGGCAGAGTTGGGCTAGTCACACCTTTGCATCCCTGTATGAACCAGAGGAAGAATCCAGGCATTGCACAGATTCTTCTTGAAGCCACACAAACTGTGCACCTAGATGCAAATGGCAGTAACAATGCAAGTCACAGCTGAAGTGCCTCAACATAATACACATTTCTCTCTGAAGTCATTCCTTGTTATATGTACTTTACAGACACTCCAACTCCTCCAGTCCCAAGAATCTCAAGTTGACATAGAAAAGGAATTTCCAGTGCTTGTGAAAACCTACACCTACAGAATACCATACTTTTCAGGTGGAGCAGTGTGCACTCTTCAACCAGCATGCCTCTGCCCTGGGCTGGTGAAACTGCTTCTAAAGGTGAGAGCAGGTCCCTTTCTCAACCTGTTCAATTCTTGGCCTCTAATGAAACATCTCAGTGAGGCACCAGTTGGGATACCATGACTAAAGCTGCAAGCAGTTGTTTCTGACAATGGTCAGTACTAGATGCTCCAGTGGAAGGTACAAGAAACCCACTACTGAACAATCCTAGGACATCTACCACTGGAAAAAAAATAAAAGGTTCTTTTCTAAGCCTACTGTTTAGTGCTTCTTCTCAAAAATCCTCTTTAACCTAACCATGGCAGCTCTCATTAGCCATGTGTCTTGCTTGAATCCTATTAAACTTTCAAGGTATTCAGATGGTAGCCGTATCGGTCTCGAGGCAAAAGGAATCAAAACTCATGGAAGAGGTGATCTCTTTTATTAGACCAACTAGATATTTACAAACAAATTATTTTATTTATTTGCAAGCTTTTGGGAGCGCTCACCCTTCATCAGGCATAGGAGAGAGCAGAGATTGTAAAAGTTCTCCTGGGTAGAAATGAAAATTCCTATTTCACAGGAGACCTGCAGGTGTGGTAAAATCTCCTGTTTGGAAGAGTTCATTTTGTCAAGGTTAGGCACAGAGAATTTGATTAAACTTTCAATACACCCTAGCCATACTTGCACAGGCCTCACTTTTAGTGAGAAGGCATGGATATAGCTAGACAATTTTGTTACTATGAAAAGATGCCATTGTAAGCTATTAGGATGCATAAGTTAATCTGTGTGATCCTGCAGTGATACAGGTGTAGCTAACAGTTGCACCTTTAACCCTGTTTTGTTCAGGGCTTAAGTGGGAGCAATTCAGTAACTTTGCATTACTGCGGGACCATGCAGATGTAATCATTACATCGTAACAGGTGACGTGGGCTCCCAAGTGCTGCCTCTCCTCCTTCTAAAGAGGTTAAAAGGTGTATTTGTCCAGGCCCTACAGGCTACTAAAATAGAACAGAATTGTCTTGCACTGCCAAGCCTGCACTCAACATGTTGGACAAGAACTTCATACAAAAGTGTGTCAGATAAGCAGTGGCAGATCCCCAAGAAAGGTGCGCTTAACACGAGCTCTGGAATGGTCCCGGAAGAGTTCCACTGACAAGTTTCGGATGAGAATCTCTCTTACAAAAAGCTAAGCGTACCTCACGCTGGAAATACTCAAGCCTTCTCCTTGGTGTGTGCATGGCTTTAAATCTTCATATTTAGGGTACAAGGAAATGTTTCTCTTGAACACAGCAAACTATTCAGTTTCTTCTTCTTTTTACTCACACAATAGCAAGGCTATAAGCACTGTTTATTTACTAGCTGCTGATTCAGACCACAGATTTATGGGAGCAAGCATAGTGTCACCATTAAAGCACATTATGGTTTCAGTCTTACAAACTGCTGACTGAAATTGAAAGAATTTTAGGTTGCTCTAAATGGCAAAACACTCGACTCATTAATTCCTGCATTCAGGCTCTTCCATATTCCTAGAGCATTCTCCTTTTTGGCTAAAATTACTTACACATGAAGATCAACCTGATTATTTCCTTAAAGTAATTTTCTTTTAAGTACACAACACGACAGCCTGAGGCAAAATCCACTGAGACGATTGCGTGTATTATTGACTTCATTATGTATGTTGCAATGGGCCCTATGAAATCAGATCACAGACATTGAAAAATAAAAACTGGCAAATGTACAAAAGAAAGATGAATGCTTAAATTGCAATAGCCATTTATATTTTCTCTCACAGGTTTCGGCAAAAAATTCCCCAACAAAACAACTGAGACAGGAAATCAGGTTTTCAATGTTTCAGGGCTTTGTTGGGAAAAAAAAATCTGCTTTCTGTAGAAAAGCCATCAAAAAAATGGAACACCTGAAAACTGACATTTCAGAAATCCTCCCATGATGCTTCCTCTCTATGTAGTCTGAATGCTTCAACCAGATTACATTTTCCATGATACATGATGACTTGGGACTCCATAAATACACTACAGGAACTCAGCCAAAGGCAAGACAGTGGTCCATCCTGAAAACGTAGTCTGGCTGGTAGTAAAACCCAGAAAGGAAAATGTGCAGAAAGACACCTGAACAATAAATTGTCTGCAGCACTGCAATTGTATTTCTGAAGAGATCTATTCTGGCTTTTTCACTGTAAGTTTGACGTTTTCCATTGAGACATCAATGAAAATTTTCAATAAAAAAATAAGTTTCCACTGTGAGTGAAACCTCCCTCCTTCTCCGACAGATTTCCCGACTAGTTCCTGTTCCATGCCTACATTCAAAGTTGTGAACAAGTCACTGCTCTCCAAGACTATTGCCATATTAGGGTTACACAGAGGTAAGATTATAAAACCAAGAAATGTTGAACATGGCTGTAATGCTGCTTGAGCTGGGATATATGTTACTGTGCTCTAGACAGTGGCTCATATACTTCTCTATCAATTAACTACACAACATCTTTAATGAAATGTGGAATAAATAATTTTGGATTGCATTATGTAGGCACTGTGATTAGAATAATAATACATGAAAAGAGGCTAAAACAAAAATAACAGATAACTTGCATTTGAGGAGCAGCGGGACTCAGGTAAATTATGGCTTTGGAAACCTTTAACAACTTCTCCTTTCCCTTCTGTCAAAGAAAGGTAAAAGTGTTATGTTCAAGGATTATGCGTCCCCCCCGCCACTTCACTTTTGAGTATACTAATATCATGTTTTAATGCAAGTTACATAAGATAGAGGTGCTTGAAACAAAAGGACACAGCAGGGGAAACTACAGCTAGATTCACAAGGAAACTTGACAGGAAGTGGCTTGAGGCTGACCAGGTGAGAACCATAGTTTCTCACAACGGTACATATCTCTTGCAGCAGCAGACAAGCTAGGTTATCGACTCAGATGGACTCTCTTCTAGGAAAGAGACGGAAGAGCTGTAAAAAAGTTAAGCTACAACAAAGAAGTTCTATATGCTGGAATTTGGTTGAAATGTCTCAACCCAACCCAACAAGGAAAACATTGGAGTAAAGCTGAAGGTGCTTTTCTGTTAGAAAAGGGATGGGCCTTCACCTTTGCTCCTCAACCACAGACAGAAGCACTCCATCTGTTAACTGCCCGCCCCCACCCCTTGTAAACCTTCATGCTTTGAAAGGTTAAATTATAAAAACAACTTCTCA